GTATACTCAAAGGTGTTCTGAGGACTGGACGTAGGTCAAGTGGTTGAGACTGAACCAGTATAAATTCTGTGTCATCTTTCTACGGTGAAATCTCTCTAACTAACACTCTCTGTTTCCGTTAATAATCCAAAAAAAGTTTAACTTTTTCAACTAATTTTTTATAAACAATAATCCAATAAAAATTATATTATACTAACTGGCTTTTACTCTACTTTAAATTTGCAAAAATCAGTTAGAATAAAAGTTAGTTTTACAACTAAATTTACTTTTCTATTAATCATTTAAACAAATTTTAATTTTTTCAACTGACTTTTTATAAACAGCAATTCAAACATAAATCACAATATACTAATTAACATTTATTTTAATTTAATTTATAAAAATTAATTAAAATAAAAATCAGTTTTGTCGTGGCTAATTTGAACACAACTCATTTTACGGACAAGCTGATTTACCATCAATACAAGTGCATTTTATATCGGAGCCTTGCAGCCCGGTTCCCTCTTTGGCCTTCTCACTCTTCTCGCCCAATCTCTCTCAGCTTTCACAAATCGCGAGGACACCGTCTTCGATCTCCCAGTCTCATACTCTGTCTCTCTTAATCTTCCAGACTCCCGGGTCTCACCTCGATACTGTGGTTCGGACATCGTCGGTATTGCTCTCTTTTCGGTTACAAAATCAAAGATTAACGGGCATGAAATTGAAACCGAAGATTTCAACTGCGTCAAGTCACGAAATTGAACTTTAACTATTCGAAAATGGTTTCTCTTCCCTCAAAATCACCCTGCACTGAGTTTGTTACTCCTCAGTTAAACAACCACCCTTTTCAACTTCAGTTCCATCGTCCCGCGCAAAATCTGCCTTCAACTTCACCACAACCCGTCAAACTCCTTCGTCCCCAAACCAATCATGCGAATGGATTTAGTTTGCAGAAGAAGAAAAACGAGAAAAAAGGATTTATCCCTGCTCAGAGCACGGTATCTGATGTTTTGCGATTGATGGATGGTCTTGGCTTCTCTATACCCATTGACATGTACGTCTCTTTGATAGAAGAGTGTACTGTTTCTGGGGACCCTCATGCAGCCATGGAACTATATGTCCATATAACACAAAGCGGCATTGATCCTCCGTTAAGCTTCCTCAATCGGCTCCTTCTCTTGTTTGCGTCATGTGGCTTAGTGGAGCGTGCACACCACCTGTTTGATAAAATGTCAGTGAGGGATATCAACTCGTGGGCTATATTACTTGTTGCTTATTTTGATAATGCAAATTACGAGGAAGCCATAGGTTTGTTTCTCAACATGCTTGACCAAGTGAGTATTTTGGAGCTGCCCAATTGGATCTTGGTTTGTCTTCTCAAGGCATGTTCGTACAGTATCAATCTCGATCTGGGAAAACAAGTTCATGGGTGCTTAGTCAAGTTGGACATTAGTAACGATGTACTTCTCAGTTGCGCATTGATTAGATTCTATGGGAAGTTCAATTGCCCAGAAGACGCAAATATCGCCTTTAACAAGGTAGCTAGACATAACACCTTCACTTGGACAGCAAAAATTGTAAATGATTGCAGAGAAATGCATTTCTATGAGGTTCTCAATGACTTCAAGGAGATGGGAAGGAGAGGAATAAGGAAGAACAGTTTCACAGTTTCTAGTGTCCTTAAAGCATGTGGAAGAATGCCAAGCCATGGCCACTGTGGTGAGCAAGTCCATGCTAATGCTATTAAGCTTGGACTTGCGTCAGGTACTTATGTGGAGTGTGGGTTGATAGACATGTATGGAAGATGTGGGTTAGTGAGAGAAGCAAAACTTGTGTTTGAGATGATTCATAATAGGGCAAACGAGGCTTGCTGGAATGCTATGCTTATGGGGTACATGCAAAATGGGTTGTACATTGAAGCTATTAAGCTTTTGTATGAGATGAAGGCAGCTAGATTGCAGCCTCAAGAGTCTCTGCTCAAGGAATTAAGAATTGCTTGTGGTGGCAGTAAAGAAGTGGAATTCACGTAGATATATATATATATATATATATATACACACACACATATATTTAAAAAAAAAATTGAATGGACCTTGTAGAGCTCTGTGTGTGTGCGCGTATGTACTTTTGATATGTTGATGATTCCATGTTCATGAGCAAATAGTTTTACAACTAAGCCCATATGACGAAATGGATGGAATATTAATCAGTTTTCTACCTCTTTTGCTATTTATTTTGCCTGACTCAGCTAACTTTATTATAGGGCCGTTTAGATAATCCCAATGTGAGGATCTGGTGGCTGAAAACAATATGGATTCAGGGAAGAAATATAATTCCTAAACCTAGAACAAGTGGGAATTAAAATTCCTAAGCAAAGCAGTGAATTGATTGGGCTGCCTAGCGCTTCAAATGAATTAGAAGTGGCAGCTGAAGTGTGGTGGAATTTGGGTAAATGGATTGGGAGTCGGGTCTCGTGAGGTCGTTAAATGGGCCTAAGGTGTAGCCCAAAACCCAAATGATACCTAGCCCAGATATATGACACCTAATCAACTCAATATGATAAATGAAAAAGAAATTGATTGCCCGCCTGTGTTCCGTGTTCCAATAAAATAAAATAAAATAACTGGTGTCAAAGTTATCCATATTCAGGCTTGACAGCATTTCAAATAAGATTGCTTCTTATAAAAAAGATACAAACAGTTATTAAAAAAATTAAAATAAAAGAAAATAAGTGCAAGCGGATGGGAGTTAATTCCAACAATGCCCCTTCACCAATTCCTCCTCATGCCCCATTTAAGATTGCCTTGCGTTGTCCTACTGATAGAAGTTGTGCCAATCCTCTCAAATGTCCAATTAATCATTATTTAACACAGTCAACTTTTTTCCCAATTAACTCCTAATTAATTCACTTGATCTCAATTAAAGTGCTAAAAGCTCAAGATAAACTATGAGTATATAATAATAATAAAAAGGGATTTATCAACCATATGCCACATACCAACCACTTTCGCAGATCCTCCTCCTCCAGATATAATTCACATGCTAGATTATTAGATTACTAGTTATGCTCTAGTAGTTATTGTTGTAATTCTTCGTTAATTGATTAACACAAGAACAATTCACTAGCGTATCATATAAACGAGTACAAACCTTCTTCATATAAGGAAATCATAGATCATCTTAATTCATATCAACATCAATATGAAAACTTACTGGGGTGCATTTCAAGTTGCATAAATTGGAATACTTTCCTCAGTCATGATCTAACAAATTAAAATCCTTCTATATTAAAAAATCAAGACTTCATGTTAACTATTTAAAAAACATTATTCATATCAAGGACATACAGATTGATTACCAAACAACCCATTTGAAAATGTTTGACAAACTCTTGCAAATACACCCATAAGAAAAATTAAAAATAGATTCATTGTATAAATTCAAGCAATAGGCTGGCAAAACAATGATATTATACGTTTCTTGGTTTCATCGTCTTGAACAATATGGCCATCTCCATGTTGGTACTCGCACATGCACATCCTTACAAGGTTCACAGCAACTTCCATGAAACTCCCTGAACAAGAGGAATTGCTAACTTCTTTATTCATCTCCTTCCAAGTTTCACATATCAAGGAATTTATCTGCCTACGAGCTTTAGCTTCAGAAGCCCCAGTTTCATTCATATAACACTCAACTGATTTGGGTATGTCTCCAGTCACCTTTTCCCGCTGCAAGATTAATGCTCTGCTTGGATTGAGTGAAAATGGGAGAGGAAGGAAAAGTGGAGTGGAAAATGAGAGAGGCATGAACTTTTCCTTTGCTTGGATGGAAAAGAAAATAGGAGAGGAAAGAAAAGTGGGAGGAAAAATGTGGTGGGCCCCATGCCCTATTTTCCTCTCAAAATTTCTCTCCACAAGTGGAGAGATTTTCATTGTTTCAGATCATTCCCTCACTACCCTCTCCCGCCAAACATTGGTCACCAGGTTTTGATTAGATTTTAATCATATTGAATATTAAATCTTAGAATCTAGTTGCGAAAAGTTTAGAAACGCGCGCACGCATGTGATTATGATTAACCCCAATTTTTATATACATATATGTGCATGTGTGTGGGAGAATGGTATGCGTTTTGACAATACTAATTCAAAGCATTCGCGTTTTAGTAGATAATAATATATGTTTTGTCTTTTGTTTTCTTCTTGTGGGCAGTTTTGATAGAGATACTAAAACTACAAATATGATTGGGTGAGGTAGAATAATGAGATGGGCATTATGCTAATGAGTTCATTATCATTTTATTAAAATATCATAATGTATAAGTTATTTATTTCCTTTTATTTTAATTAAGTTCAAAAATTATTTTCTTTTATTTTTACATAAAAATAATTTTTTGCTAAATTATTTAGTTTCCTTGCCAATTAATTATAATAAGGACATTTTAGTCATTCTGATATTTATATATTTTCTTTCCTCTCTATTTTCTCTCACTCATCCAAGCAAGAAGAGTGATAATATTTTCTTTTCAGTTTTCTCTTCTCTTTATTTTCTTTCTTCCCAACTTTTCTTCTCATCCAAGCGGGGGGTAAAGATTCGTAGAAACTAAGTACCATATTTCATCGAATATATATATATTGGTTAATTAAATATGAAAAGACTGTGTCATGATACCTTTGCTATTCCCAAATCATTGACGAGGCGAAAAATGGTTAATACATAGCAAATAACATTAGAATATTCTTCAAACCGAATCGAATCCTGCTTATTGGTAGAACTATGAAGTAGAAAATAAGCATAAAAAAGTACGACTGGTCCACTACTTGAGATCCATGTATTTTCTATGTACTCAAGAAAGCTGGGTTTATAATCATTATGGTACCACGTTGCCTCAACTAGATCTGATTTACAGAGATCAACCCACTGAAAAAAATTGAACACAATAATTTATATATAAAATTAGCAAGGGTTAAAGTCTAATTTTTCCTCAGAAGTTTACATGTAGAAGTTATGTGGGTATCTGAAAGTTTTTATTGGATCAATATCACCCGAAAATATTTAAAAAGGAGCAAAATTGCTCCACCCGCTAAAAAAAATAACATTAACGGTTGATATTTTTGACAATCAGGGGCAATACTGCTCTTTTCTTATACTTCCAAAGCAATATTGATTCAACAAAAACTCACAGATACAAACAGCTATGTGAAAACTTCCATGGCAAAATTGCACCTCAACCCAATTAAAATATACCATGATTAAAATTATTTAAGAATAATTAATCTCTAGATCTTATAGTTTTATTTGATTTTTAATTAGGTCCTTATAAAGTTTTTTTCTTTTTATTAGGTTCTTTTATTTTCACGTGTTTTTAATTAGACCCTTCCATTTCTTTTTCTTTTTACCATGTCTTTATAGTTTCACTTATTTTTTAATTAGGTCCTCTGTAGTTTTAAAAAAAATTATTTATAAAATTTATTCTTGAAAATAATTTCATTTTTAAATTAATAATTATATAATTGGACAAAATAATTAATAGAATGATTTGTTGTTAATAAATAATTAAAATAATCAATTGTAATTAAATATAAATCATTTATACAAAATAATTAATATAATCATTTAGTAATTAATAATTAATTATAGTAATCAATTATAATAAAATATAAATATTTTATAATTATATTCTAATTTTAGAAAATTTTATTATTATAATTTGAATTTTATAATTATAAAAATTAGAATTGGAAAATAAATAATACATATGTTTAACTAAAAATTTAAAAGAATATTAACATAAGATTATTATAATAATTTGTTATTTATAGAATAAATAATAAAATCTACAAGGACCTAATTAAAAATAAGGTAAAACAACAAGGAGCTGAAAAAAAGAAAAAGAATTATAAGGACTTGATTAAAAACATGTAAAATTATAAGGACCAAATTAAAAAAAAACTATAGGGAACTAATTAAAAATCAATTAAAACTATAAGGACTTACATATTAATTATCCTAATTATTTATATTATGCTACCTCTAGTCATCAATATAAAAGATAATTGGGATTTGAATTGGTCCTAAATAAAAAATTTCAATCCATTTTGTCTCCCAAATTTATAATTTATTATCTAAAATATCCTTATTGATTACACATATTAAGGGGTTTTTATTTAAAGGTAATTATGATTACAAAGGGTATTTTAGAAAAATCAACTCATATTTGTTATTAATAACTAACTTAATTAATTTTCTTAATCCATCCAAATTATATTAAGGACTGGAGATAGTATAAAATAAGAAAAGATGCAACCGATGAATTGGATCAAAGCATACCACTTTCTTAATGTGTAGAATGATGTTGCGTCCATTTTCTTTGAGGAAGTCAAAAGCCACTTCATTGACAAAGTTATTAAGTGCAAGGAAACAAATTTTCATGTAGTCTGGAAGTTCATCAATGGCATTTACATCCCATCTATGTCATAAAAAAAGGTATAAAATGGTAACAAATATTGAGACAGTTATACATACATACATAAGATAACATGTTTAGCTGTTTACCACTTCTGTGAAAAGCTTTAGTTCTTCCAAACTGCCGTGAACATCATACATATCATCAATTATAGTTATCACTGCAAAAACCTTTGAAACCACTCTTCTAAAATATCCAAATTTTGGTTGAAAAGCCACACCCACTCCTATGAAGTTCTCAACCATTCTATCCCTTACAAAACTCAGCTTTTCTCCAAGTCCAGTTCTTTTCCACCATCCTCCAGTAGAAAATCATCAAGTAAAAAAGATCGGCTTATTAGTATGCATATTTTCTCTTTATTTTCTTTTTGTAATGTTTCGAAGGTCTAGAGCTAACTCAGTAAACTTCTCGCAGTTCCGTCGATTTTCACAACTGAAAAGAAAACCATTGATAAATTTGTTTGGAACTCATAATATTTTTGGTTTGAATTTTATATTTCTGACAGAAATTCCATAGAGACTGAAAATTTTACTTGAAAATATTGAACCAATAAAATGTAAATCCTTGTTTGTTAGAGTTCTAATTAGGTCTAGAAACAGTCAAAGTTTCCTAACAGGGTTGAATGTGTATAATCATTTTCACCTTAACACGTGTTTGATATCCTCTTGGTGGGTAGCTTATAAGATGTTGAACTCCAATTTAGCAAGCTTGAGCAAAGTAGGGCTCATGTTCATTCTTCTTTCATAAACATCAATGAACCACCGAGTTTCTAATCTTGATACCCTCCAATATAGTGGAAGCTCTAGGGCATGACTAACCAAAAGTGGTACTTCATCATCTTTGCAGCTTTTCTTCACAAATGCTTTAAGATGAATTGAGCTAAACTCTCTTGCTTTATCCAAAACTATTTCACCTTCCATTGAAAGGAAGGAAGCTTCATACAATGATAACATACCCTCGATATTGCTCGAAAGGCAAGAACGGAAATTACCATTGTAATCTAAGAATCCATCAAATGTCTCTGAAAAAAACCATGCAATTACAAATTGAATAATTGTTAGCGTTAGAAAAAAAATTATATTCTCCATAGTAATATTTGATTTCTGTGAACTTTATGCTCTATACGCGAATTAAATATATACCTGATGACATATCATAATAGCCTTGTTGTCTTAGGAGTCTAAATTGAAGAGCCACGGCATATAAATTGTTACTTATGCTTAATGTTTCTTTATTGTAAATATTTTCCATTGTGTTTCTTATCTCTTGGCTAAAATGATAAGCCACTCCCAGTCTTTGCATGTCATCAATGAGCTCTAATTGTTTCAAAGGATATGTCAATGTCAAGAGCATCAATCTTACTTCTTCCTTCAACTGATCTCTTTCTTCTAGATATGATTCTTCCTTCAAATTCTTAATATATAATAATTAGAAAATGGATTATGCACAGAAAAAGACATACGATCATGATATGAAATAAAATTTCAATAAACCAAGTAAATGAATGAACGTGAAAGAAGCCATACCACAAAATCACTTCTTATTGATTGGATATAATCATAATCCCAAATTGAAGGTTGAAAGTGATTTGCAGAACCACGAGAAGTGTTGTTTTGATTAGAATCACTAAATGTTGAAGCCTTGCATTGGATTGTCCGAGGAAAACAAGAGCTCTTGATTGCTGAAAGTGGAGGTATTGGTTTTGATCTGGGAACTCCGGTTTTGAAGAAAATACTATTTGAAAGCAAGGGAAATTGGCAGAGAGCCATTAGAGTGAAATGAAAACGCTTCTGCCTAGTTTTACCTTCTTTTGCAATGGAACCTCAGTTCCCTTTTTTATATTGGGTTAAAGTGTAATTTTAATTCCAATATTATTTATTAGGTGTAATTTTGCTTCTAATCTTTTTAGCAGTACGATATTGATCTGATCTTTTTTTGTGTGCAACTTTGATACTGAGGAGCAAAATTGCACTAAAAAAAGATTATAGGCAAAATTGCACTTTAAAAATAAGATTAGAGGCAAAATTGCACTACTAAAAAATTAGCGACAGAATTGCACTTAAAAAATAAGATCAAGGTCAAAATTGTAATTTAATCTTTTTATATTTGGTATGGATGTTTTGAAACCATTACTGGTCTTTTTGCCAGTTTGAATTTCTTTTAAAAATACTCTAACCTTTCTTATATTTTGTCTCATACCAAATCCCTAATTTTGGCTAAAATTATTTTGAAGAAGAATTTCCTTTTCTTTTCCTTAATTTCAAATTTTCTTTTTGCAAAAAGTTATTTGCTTATTGTTTTTATCTACAGGGATAGAAGTTCAGTAATTTAGTTAAAATAGACATAAAAGCTTGATTAAAAATTTGATTAATTCTTTTAATTAATATATACTTGATTAAATGTGTTTATAAATGTTTGTAGCAAAAAATATATTTAAAATTTTTAAATTTAAATTATTTATATAATATCTTAAACTTAACTCATTTATATTATATGATAAAAAATATATGCATTTGAGATATGCTTTTAGTTGTTTAAAGTAAAATAAATAAATAAGTTTTAATAAATGTGATGAATATAAAATAATAAAAAGTTTGTAATACAATAAAAATTAATCGTTTTTATAACATGTTAAAAATTTTGCAAATATATGTATTAAAATTATTATTTTGGTTGTATAGAAAAGTAATTTTTTTGGCAAATATAAATATCTAAATAATTCTTAATTAATGGTTAACTAATAATTGGGTGCATGAAAATGAAATCTGTTACTGTTAGGGTGATTTGTGCACCAATCATTTTAATTTTGAGAGAGGTGTGGATATATAAATATTTTTAAAATAGGAAGGATGTTTCTATAATTTAGATGAAATAGAGGGGTCGTTATTATCTTTTACTCTTAAATTTTATACGTCAACATTGAACAATACAATACGAAATGTATTACTGAATTTGGAAACTGGGACGAAGGTGTTGACATCAAAGTGGCAAGCATTTTCCTTTTTCCCAATAAAGTAGAGCAATCATGCATCACTCTTACTTCTTCCCAATTAATTAATGCACTTCTGTGATCATTCGATAATAAAATTTAGAAAAAAAATTATTGTGTTGAAGCTAAAATGAAACCAAACATTAAATGCATTGAAAGAAAACTTAAAAGATTAAGCAAGCGTATGGATCTAGAGGTTCCAAATCATAGGTAAAACAAGTTCATTTATTATTTTAATGGATATGGTTGTGGTTTGTGATATTTGTGGCCCACCAATAAATTGGGCGCTTAAGTCTGTTATCCACATAGTTCTTTGCATAATTTGCATTAGGGTTACTAATAAGTTGTTGGTCGAAATAGCAATCAGTTTCATTTTTATAATGAGGAGAATACAAATTCAAATATTAAGAAGTGCATTTATTACAAAGACTTTAACCTTAACGCTTCCAACTGAAAAGAAACTAGTCTCAAACTCAAAACGACTTTTATATATATATATAAAGGTTGGATTAGGGTTTAGGGTGCATAGGTCACTTCTATCCTTTATCGAAGATCATGGAGGGTTCATATACAGAGGCAGGGGATGATTCGGATATTCTCAAAGTGACATCGTTTCAGTTTTAGATATAAAATTCCTTCCTCTTTCTCAATAATGCATTGGTGAAACCAGAATGTACGTGAACGATGGGGAACGAAAATTTTTAAAAATAATTGAAATGCATCCATCAAAGAATATGTTGGGTTTGAAATTGTATGTTTAATACTTGTTATCAATCATTTTTTAAAAAGAATTTTTTTCCTGATTTTAAAAAGAAAATTATAACATGCATGAGAAAAAGTTATTGGATATATTAAATTCTTTATAATAATATAGAATTAAAAAACTCAAAAACATACAAAGAAAATGATCTTAACCCACCACACCAGCAGGAGGGAGGAGGGAGGAGGGAAGAGGGATGTTTTGTAGCAAAGTTGGTAAAATGGAATTTGATCCCACTATCTCTTATTACATCTCAAAAAATTATATAGCCCTTGAGCTATTACTACTTCTTGACAAAATAGTGCAAAATAATTATACAAGTTGACCACTAGGTTTTGACCACAGGAGATTTGCAACCCTTGTAATTAATATATCTTGATTTTTTTAAACTACCATATTTTAATTATATACAAAGTCTTGATTAGAAGCCTCCTTAATATATTGAATCAAAAGAGATACTGAGTAAAAAATTATAAATTTGAGAAATAAAATGAACTAAAATTTTATATTTAGAACTAAAATGAACCAATTGTCCAACTCTTATATTTAGGATTAGAGATGATATCTCTTTCCACCATCTTCACATTAAAAATATTAAACTGGTAGTAGTAAGTGCTAATATGAGGAACTTGGCATAGTAAATTCTTTGAGTGCTTATTATTGTTGGCGAAATCTTTGATTATCTCGCTGTACTAAGCGTTCCACAGGTTGATGAAGCATCATGAATATTATTAATATAGGATTGTGGATTCTCAAAGCCCTTTGCCACAATTTATTTGAAAAACAGGAATGATATGTAGTTGCAAGTTTGGAAACAAGTAGAGAAAAATGAAGAGGAGTACGTGAAGCAGCGTTTGAACAATGGAAGAAGAAAATGACGGATGCAATTAGAGTGTTTGGGGGCTGGTTTAGTTTATCCCAATGTGGTTGATAATAAATATGAAATTAGGGAAGAAATAGAATTCCTAAACCTATAACAATTGGGAAATACAATTCTTTTTTTTTTTTTGAAATTAAAAGGGCAAGTACTAATGACTTAAGATTACAAATGAGATGAAACTCGCAACTTTTCCTTTACATGTCATTGGGCTACAAAGCCTCATGCTTCCAACGAAAGTGGCGGCTGAAGTGCGGTGGCATTTGGATAAATCGAATGGGAGTTGGGTCTATGTGAGGTGTTTATATGGGCTTAAGGTGTAGCCTAAAACCCAAATAATACCTAGCCCAAATATGTTACGCCCAATCAGCCCATTATGATAAATGGAAAAGACATTCATTTCCAAGATAAAAGCAAATAAAGTGCATGTGGATGAGGCTAATTCCACCAATGCTCCTTCATCAATTTCTTCTTTTATACACCCATTAGGAACTTATTCGGCAAGAAAGAAATGGAAGAGAGATTAGAGAAAATTTTAACTAGTTCAATCTAAAAAATTAAATAAGTAGGATTATTAAATTTTAATGAAGAGAATATTTAAAATAAAAAGTAACAAAAA